TTTCCCAACAACTGTGAAACTGAAAGGGTTTTGAGTTGCTCTCCATATACAATTCCTCCGCTTGGCGTACCTAGAAAAAAATTAAAGGAAATTAATTTATGAAATTAAATGTAATATAATTAAATATTTAAAATAAATTGTGAAAACACTTACTTCGTCGTAGTAATTAGTACCGTTTTCATGTCTACTTGCAGCTGCTAACAATGCTTGATGCCATTTGTTCAAACTTGGCTGAAGATATTTCTTCCATCTTGAAGAACAATTCTCATGGTTTCAAATATTCAGTGGAGTGGTGCCTTCATAGAACTCTAAGTATTTTTTGGACACATGAGTCCAAACACCGTCATTTGTTTGACAATTCTCACTCACACTATGTTCCGACACCCATCTATAAGCCTTGCAAAGAGCTTCATCTTCTTTTTGACTCCAAGTCCTACCTTTCATTGTAGACGAGCCCATTTGAAAATTATTGAAAAAATTGAAGGATAGATTTTTGAAAGAGGAAAGAAAATATGAGAATTGAAATAGTGAAAATTTTGTGAGGAATGATGAATGAATCGTTTATGTATTTATAGGAAGAAAAAAAATTTAGAATTTAAAAAAAAAAAAAAAAATTGGCCCAAAAACCAAAAAAAAAAAAAAATTAATCCAACAATAACTAGAGTCAGCTAGCCGTTGGATTCAAATTTTTCTTTAAGCAATCCTGTCAGTTAGAACCAACAAGATTGCTCTGATTTTCTGGCTAGCCCAGGCTGGTTGGCTGGTTGCATGCGGCCAACCCTTTGGCCCTTTCAGATTTTATGGGGCCCACGAGCCCTCTGGCCTAGCCCTTGGTTGGAGATAGTTTTTGAACTATTTTCGACCCTGTAGCCCTCTGGACCTATCGATTGGAGATGGCCTAAGCACCAACCAAAGTTGGATGGCTTACTTGGTACTCCCCATCTAAAGTTGGGCGTGTCCTCTTTCTTACCAGATAAAAACAAAATACCCACACCTGCTACTGCGGTTAGGGTTCATAGGGCTGAGCTAAAAGCTCAAAGACGTCATCACTATCCTGGATCTCATTTGAGGGATGATTTCAGACGAGAACCAAGATGTATGACAAGGTCATTGGGATTTGCAACTACAGGTGCAAGTAGTTGTGGTTTGGTGCCTTCGATCTTCCCTCAAAACGTCGTCGAAGGTTTTCGTTTGAATGAACAAAATCCGTCAAGAATTCATTGAGATTCCTCAATCAATTTTCGTAAAGGACGACTTCTCCTCAATGAAGACAGCGTACAGGCTATCATGTGTATGCAAATTTATAAACCCTGTCTTAATGAAGGCATCACTGTCAACATTTCTGTTTTATTAAAACAACATTTGAAAATATAGTAATAAAGGTAAAAGGCAACATCTTTTGTTATATTACACTCTAACCGTTCAAAATTATCAAACCAACGGATAAGAAAACATCGATTGTCCTTCCCCATAACTATGTTTTTTCTTTGGGATTTTGTCAGTTTTAGGTTGACAAGAATCCTTTTGTAGATAGTGTCTATGGATTGCTTCATGATAATTAGGCTTATAATCAATCATTCAAGGTCTAAGTCCATGGTTTGTAGGAAGATTAACCCTTATTTCAATATTTTCCAACTCAATGATCTCATTTTACTGTGAACGAAAGGGAATATTCGAAGTAGGATTTGTACTAACCGGAATATTCAAAGGAGGACTACCCTAAATATTTTAAGGAAGATTTAAGCACTGTTTAATATCGTATTCCATTACGTAACTATATAATGAGAAAAAAGATCTTAGACTCTAAGTCCTAGAGTACTCTACAATGAATAATACTAATTAAACAACAATTCAAATAATCAATAATCATATATATTAAACAATAGTTCAATTAATCAATGACTATATTAAACTATATCAATTAAAAAAAATTCATATATTTTTTTTAACAAATGATATTATTTACACTAAGACCATCTCAAACTCTTGGATTAAAATCTAAAATTTTTAACCCAAAAACAGTTTCTTATTTTTTATTTTTTTATATTTTTTTTAGGGTTTAGGGTTTAGGATCGTTCCATTCCGTAACTATATAATGAGAAAAAGGGTCTTAGACTCTAAGTCCTAGAGTACTCTACAATGAATAATACTAATTAAACAACAATTCAAATAATCAATAATCATATATATTAAACAATAGTTCAATTAATCAATAACTATATTAAACTATATCAATTAAAAAAAATTTCATATATTTTTTTTAACAAACGATATTATTTACACTAAGACGATTTCAAACCCTTAGGTTAAAATCTAAAATTTTTAACCCAAAAACAAATTTTTTTTTCGCTCCAACCCTTATGGATTTAATTTTTAGCCCGAGATTATTAAATAATGAATTTATGTTATTTAAAAAAAATGTAGGTAGACCATCTTAATTTAATTTTATGAACATTTTAACCTAAAAATATTTAGATTCCGATAAGGGTAAATTACATTTAACCCCCTTAGGTTTGGATTTAATTGCAACCTCATACAACATCTTTAATTACATTTAAAAGAGATCTTCTAATTCCAATTACGAATTCGTTAGGTCCTTTCAGAACAACCTCTCAAATTTGAAAATCACTAATATTAATAGAGTTTTTTTAAGTAAATTTTGATTTAAATAAAATTTTCTTTAATTATTTTAGCCGTTGGATATAAATTTGGACTGTTAATATTTTTTTGTTCCGTTTAATTTGATCATATTAAATTTCAGCCGTTCGATTTAATGAATTTATAAATTTAAAACTACAAATTAACAAAGTTTAAATCTGAATCATTGGATGGAATCAACGGTTCGTTGCTCTACACTGTTAGATGAAAGAAAGAGCCATTGGGCTCATAAATCTTCCTCGACATGTCCACATGGGTGGGTCTCTTGCTGTTTGTTTGGGAAAAGTGGGGGGCGTGGGATTGTAAATGTCGTGTCAATCCTATGCAGTTTTGAAAAAACTGGGCTGGAATTTGGCCCACTAACCATACTCATACTTACGTTAGCCCACTAACCCGAACTCAAATCTTGGCTGGAATTTGGCCAATTTTTTAGTTTTTAACCTATAACTCCATTTTAGGCCAAAGGTTGGAGTATTTTGCGGGGGGAAGGGGGGGGGCAATAGAAGGCAAATTTTGAGAATTACTCCAAGGGTTGGAGTTGGTCTAAGAGGTGGAGAAATGAGTTAAGTTTCACAATGAGTTACCAAAAATGTGGTTCACAATGGGCTAACTGACGCAGGATAAGCCAAGGGAGTCTAGGGAGACAAGGGATGATAACCTAGGAAATGCTCAACCAGGGGGGATGAAATCACTCGTGTCTTTACGGGGATAGAACCTGGGAATCACTCGACCAGGGGCAATGGATTCACTCACGTCGCTAATTGTGGATTCACTCGACACGACCAAGTCTCACACTTGATTTTAAGGAGGAGAAAACTCACTCTCTTCTTAGATTAACTTTAATTCACTAATTTCACTTCTTAATCTTACATATAGAACCCTTTAAATAGTAGGCTACCTTACATTGATAGGATAAATAACTTGATACTAAAGATTATAGTTACTAGGCATCTAATTAAAACATGGCTTTGAAAGATGAAAAGTCTCCAACAACATGTTTAATGTAGAAACCATATTAATTGTTCTGCATTGCATCATTCTCCTCTTCTCTAAAAAAACTCTTCCTCAAGTTTCCTTTGATTTTTTTACCTCGATCTTTTGCATGACCTTTCAAAATTTTCCACAACAGCCATAATAGCAAAAGCAATTTCAGAGCTGTCAAGTTGTTCCGTCCCACAAAACATTCCTTTGAACTCCACTTCCATGTTATTCCAAAGCAAGTACACCTTAGTTCCTTGTTAACAGAAATTGACTTCAAATCAAGAACATACGCTTTCCAAATTATTGTTTCTTGTGATGAGTAGCGTTGGAGGGATATTGAGAAACCACAATAAAATTCACTGATTATTTTCTTCAACAATTTCCGCTTTAGATTGTGAGTAATGAAATCTTCCCAAATGTAATCATTATGCACAATCAATGTTTTTTGCCTCTTTATGAAGCTGCACATAAAACGTTTCCACCATTGTACTCATGTTATGTGGATAACCCCAATCCACAAAGCCTTCTTCTCCTGACAGCAGACAAACTTTTTGATGAGCCACATCAACGGTATACTTGTTGTCGTCATTAGATTTGTCGTAAATTGGTGAATAATTCCAATCGACGAAACTAATCTCTTCAACGATGTGATCTTGAAACGGATTGATAATCATAGCCATGATCTTCAACCGCAGCGGAAAACCTGCTCTAATGCCACTTGACGCAGGAGAAGCCAAGGGAGTCTCGAGAGATGAAGGATGATAACCTAGGAATCGCTCAACCAGGGGGACGAAATCACTCACGTCTCTACGGGGATAGAACCTGAGAATCACTCGACTAGAGGCAACAAATTCACTTACGTCGATAATCGTGGATTCACTCGACTCGACCAAGTCTCACACTTGATTTTAAGGATGAGAAAACTCACTCTCTTCTTAGATTAACTTTAATTCACTAATTTCACTTCTTTATCTTACATATAGAACCCTTTAAATAGTAGGCTACCTTACATTGATAGGATAAATAACTTAATACTAAAGATTATAGTTACTAGGCATCTAATTAAAACATAGTTTTGAAAGATGAAAAATCTCCAACCACATGTTTAATGTAGAAATCATATTAATTGTTCTGCACTGCATCACTAACGACATATTAAATTATCAATTAGAGATTTAAATTAAAAAAATGAGAGATTTACCTCAAAATGAGCCGTGGAAGGCGGCGATGCGTGGTTGGCGGTGGTGGGCTGCTGCTTCCATGGGCAGAGCATTATATGGTCAAATTGACCCATATTTTCTAAGGACAATCCGGGAACAGATTTCCAAGTCGCTACAAGAACATAAATTAATCGCATGACATTGTTTACTCATTCTTTTTAATGAATGGGATTTTGAATTACGAAGGCGGCGTGTCCAAACCCTTGCTTGCAGTGCAGGTAACTGAGCTTGTTGATGGCATTTTCATAGGTTGCACTATGAACCACTCCATCGTTGATGGGTCTTCATTCTGGCACTTCTTCAATACTTGGTCAGAAATCTCTCGGCGTGGTAGTACTAATGGTAAACTCTCACAACCTCCGCCAATTTTTGGACGTGAATATCTTGACGGCATCATTGATCTCCCAGTTCGCATTCCCTTCTTTCAAAATCAAATCCCCAAAACTAAGTTTTTAGCACCCATCCTTAAGCAAAGAGTGTTTCATTTTTCCAAGGAAACAATTGCGCAACTCAAAGCCAAAGCGAATTCTGAAATGGGAACTACCAAGATCTCATCCCTTCAAGCACTGTTGGCTCATCTTTGGTTATCCGTAACCCGCAACCAATGTCTCAGCACTGGTCAAGAAACTATGTACAAAGTACTAGTTGGAATGAGGCAGAGATTGCAGCCACCATTGCCAGACCAGTACCTTGGAATGCGGTTCTATTTGGCATAGTAACATCCAGTGTAGGTGAATTGCTTGAGCGCGGACTAGGCTGGGCTGCGTGGGAAATGAACAAGATGATTGCTGCACAAACAGAACATGATGTAAGGAAGCTGTTGGAGGATTGGATTAAAAATCCCAAAGTACCAAACCTCGGTAGCTTGGCAAGTAACTCATTATTGACAGGAAGCTCGCCGCGATTTGATGTGTTTGGTAATGACTTCGGTTGGGGAAGGCCGCTGGCTGTTCGAAGTGGCGCTGGGAATAAGTTTGATGGCAAATTAACTGTATTTCAAGGGGCTGAAGAGGGAAGTATTGATTTTGAAGCTTGCCTTTCGCCTCAGACACTGCATGCTTTGGCACACGACGCAGAGTTTATGGCGAGTCTGACTAGGCGAATTTAGTTGTGATGGTATTGGTACAAGCCAATACCATCTAGATCTCAAGCTTGATTTACACTTTCGTGCTTGTTTGTTATGTATGAATCAGACTCTGAAAGGCGGTACTTAGATAATAGCCAAAAACTGGATGTTGTTTATGCAGTTAGAATTCTTGGCCTATAAATTGGACTCAGTTAATTGTATCAACAAATTGTTTCTCCTGGGTGTATTTTTCTTGCTTCTCAGTGCCACATAAAGGTTTGAGAGAAGAGAATAGCGATCGTGTCACTCTATGCTTAGATTGTGTTAGTGCGAGTGTAATACACTTTTCTTAAAATATAAACCAAGCGGTTGTGCACTAAGACCCTGTTTGGCAAACCGTATAGGGCACCGGATAGTACTAATAATACGGTGTACGGTGTTTGGTGCCGTTTGGATTAAATAGGCACCGGATTAAATAATCCGGGCCCACGTTTTTTATTTGGCGTTTACCCGACTTATACCGTCCAAATTCACGGTATAATTTAGTCGGCCTTGCTCTCCTTCCTCTCCGCTCGCTCTCCACTCGAACTCGACCCCCTCTCTCTCGCCCTCTCTCTCGCCTTCTCGAACTCGACCAACTCTGCCATTTTCAGCTTTGCCGTACCGAAGTGGCAGATTTTGGCGCCGAGCACGAGGTGGTCCTACTCGGAGACGATGATGCTGGAGCTCCTGATGTGGTTGTGGACGAATGTAGAGTCGAGGCCGGAGCAGTGGTGGATGTAATCGAGGCCGTGGGCGAGGTCGGTAGCGATTTGCATCCAGGAGAGCCACAACGACATGACGATGTAGCTCGGGTTCTTCGGGTTGCAGGACTTGCGCTGGAAGACGACGGCATCTTCGGAGCGGATGGAGCAGCGCCAGGAGGAGGAGGAGAGGCAATGGTTGGGGAGGAAGTTGGAGGTCGCGGAGCGGATCTCAGAGAGGTCGTAAATTTGGGGGTTTTGAGGGAGGGAGGATTTAAAGTACTTGAGGGAGGCGACGGAGGAGAAGGTGGAGGATTTGGAGAAGTTGTAGCTGGAGTTGTCGATGGTGGTGCTGAAAATGGCGGAGCAGACGAAGAAGAAGAATGGAGAGAGGGAGGGATTTGGGGGTTGCGACGGAGAGATCTGGGAAAAGAGATGATTTCTGTTTTTTTTTTTTAATTTTATTTGAAGTTTGATTCTCCTATCCGATATAATACCAAACACAGTATAAATAATACGGTAAATAGTCCGATACTGCACCAAACGCCCGACTAATTTAGTCAGTACTATCCGGTGACTATTTATCCTATCCGACATAAATAGTCAGTACAGTCCGACCTGCCAAACGAGGCCTAAGTGTGAAGTTGACTTATTTGGATTCTTTTATATACCTCGAATGTTAGAGAACTTTAGATTATTGTGGTTTGTATTCTCAAAACTTAAAATGAAATAAATGAAGAAAAAGTGATTTTAATCATTCCTTACTTTAGAGCAAATGAAAGCATAAAAGACTGGAAATCAAATGCAAGAACTAGTACATCTTAACGACAATACGCTTGAAATGTAACATGAAAGGAGGCTTCTTCGTCCTTGCTAGTAGGTTGCGAGCTAGGGTAAATCGGACCTTTTGTCCTGACAACTCCTGTAATGGATGCTGCGAATTCACTCGCCACCGCAGGCGAGCAATCCTATGAGAACACGCTGATCAAAGCCTTTCCAGCTAACGTGGACCTCGTACCTTGAAGAGGCACCCATCTCCAAAAATAGAGATCAAATATTCGATACAAAGTTGAGTTCTTAGGTATATAATAAGGGACATCTATCCTCTCCAGATCCATTGATCCTAATCCACTAAGTCACATCATTTGGAACATTAAAATTTGATCAAACGGTTAAAGTTATTATAACTTTTAAAATGAATCTCCGTTTGTAATCATTGGATTAAATTTCAATGGCTTGGATAATGTGACTTGATGGATTAGGACCACTGGATCATAAGAGGATCCATATCTTATAATAAGGGTAATGTTAGAGATATTAAAGTTTTTAAATTGAATTTGCAAATCAAATGATATGGATGTATATAATTGGATTATTAATTACGTGTCAATCAACGTACTTGCTTCTTATTAGTAATACATCATTCGATTTATAAATTTGGTTTAAAATTTTGTTCTTTCTAATATTATCTATATATTAAGATAACAATAATCAGTTTTTGTTTGATTATTTATTTGGTAGAGGTACTTTCACTATTGTGCATATTTTCTCTGATGCTAATTAACTTTTGTTATCTGGTCATGTGCTAAATTCACTATTTGCAAAAGAATCCACCGACCCACATATAGTTGGCACGCGAGACAGAGCTTAGTCTATATTATATTAAGCGCAGGAAAGCGATAAACACATTTTAACATTTCATACAATTTATTTGATTTTGTTCGTTGTTTTGTTTGTTTTATTTAATTTGATAATTATAAATAAATAAAAATTCTGTGAGAACTAAAAATAGTGAGTGAAGATCACTCCCTTAAATATATATGAATTCAATAAATATGAATCATGCACTGTATTAATTATGGTGTTATAATAAAGACAATCCATATTGTAAATATTCACACTTCAAAAATTACTCATATACAGAGTTTTATTTTTTATTTTTTGGAATAAACGATATAATCGATACTAAGGGTGGGCGAGTGTGCTAAGTCTTGTATTGGGCTAGCCATAATAATGTGGTTCAAATTCGTATTTAACGAGAATCAAACGTAAGACCTCAAATTTATAAGTGAAGAAGAATATCACTAGACCGTTGTATTAAATGACATAGCGTTTGTGGGTTCAATTATTACTAATGTATAGAGTTAAGGCCAAAACGGATTAATGGTCCTCATGTTGATATGGCTTCTTGCAAAGAGAGAACAGATTCATCAATGCTTGAAGCATCCCACATCTCTCAAAAACTAAGTTTGGGGAAAGAGGTTAGGAGGGGAAGCCTAGGATTTAATTGAAATTGGGAGGGGAAGGTATAGGGGAAAAAGGTGCACAAGTTAAGGGGTGGGGCGTAGGTTAAGAGGGGAGGTGTAGGATATAGAAAAGTGATGAGAGGGGGTTGTGTTTGGTGGTAGAGGAACAGGGAAGGCCTCGTCTTTGGCTATCTTGTGGGCAAAAGATGGTGTGGGGAAGTCTTTTGTTTGGTGTCACCCTCCAATATCTTTTTTTTTTTTTTCCCACTAAGAAATTAGGTAAATGTTTGTAAATGTTTCTTCTAAGATGGAGAACGTTACAAGTCAATAGCAGATCTACAGTGGTGACCTTGAGTGCCCATGATTCAAAAGAAAAGGAAAGAAGAACAATTGATAACCGGATTGGAGGAGAGGATGGTGGAGGAGAAGAGGCCACATGAGGGGAGGCATAATTACATGGAGAGAGGAAGAGAGAGGAAGAGAGATGAAGGCACAAAGAGAGGAAGAGAGAAGAAGGCTAAAGAGTGTGGTTGGACATTTTTAACCATAAGGGTTTAAATTCTTTTTTTTTTTACCACATGGACTGTCTTTCGACACCACAATGTTCTATTTTTTTTACCACAAGGACTGTCTTCCGAATTTCCTATCACCACAGTGACCATTAATCGTCCGATTTGGCCTAGAGTTAAAGGCACCCTCAAAGCTTCAGTATATTATAGTCTGCCTTCCTCAAGAGAACAATACCAAAATATGAGACACATTCGCTTGATCTCCACCACAATTGTTCAACCGACAACCCACAGTGATGAGTTAACTCGTAGAATTGAGTTAACTCCATGGGATATGTAACTCCTCCTTATAGATCAAGTTCAAAAGTGCATTCTCTTCCACAAGCCTACTTCTACTAACTATGGGAATGAAGACCTACAGAATAACCTAGTCGAACACTTAAAGACCTATTTCTCCACCGCCTTAGACATCTTCTATCCCCTTGCCGGTCGTCTTGCCATCACGGAAAATAAAGACGATAACACCATCTCTTTCACTGTCAAATGCAATGGCGCCGGACCTGAGTTTGTCATGCGATTGCTGATGAAGTCACTGTGGCGAATGTCCTTGACCCTGTCTTGGTCCCTGATGAAATTGTCTACGACCTCTTTTCCATGAATGGGGCATTGAATTACAAAAGTGTGACCAAACCCTTTCTTGCAACGCAAGTAACATAACTGGTTGATGGCGTTTTCATAGGTTGCACAATGAACCACTCGGTTATTGATGGGTCGACATTCTGGCGTTTCTTCAACACTTGGTCCAAGATCTCTCACGGTGGTGGTGGTCGCGATGGAATTTCGCGATCACCTCTTATTTTTTACCGTGAGTTTCTGGACGGCATCATTGATCTTCCAGTTCGCATTCCCTTCTTCCGTAGTCAGATCCCAGATAAATTTCTACCACCACCTCTTAAACAACGGGTATTTCATTTCCCCAAGGAAAAAATTGCTCAGCTCAAAGCCAAAGCCAATGCCGAGATGGGCACCACCAAGATCTCATCCTTGCAAGCACTTTTAGCTCATCTTTGGGTTTCCATAACCCGCACTAGGCATCTCAACCCCGACCAAGAAATTAAATATCGTTTACTAGTAGGCCTGAGGCAAAAATTGCAGCCGCCATTACCCGATGAATACCTTGGCAATGCGGTTCTTTTTGGCATGACCACATCCACCGTGAGCGATTTGCTCTACTGCGAACTAGGCTGGGTGGCTTTGGAAATGAACAAGATGATTGCTTCAAAGACGAAAGAGGATGCTATAAATTTTTTGAAGCAATGGATGAAGAGTCCAAAAATGACCAAAATGAATGCTTTAGCAAGTGATCACGCATTGGCCACAGGAAGCTCGCCGCGATTTAATATGTATATTAACAACTTTGGTTGGGGAAGTCCTCTGGCAGTTAGAAGTGGTGCCAGGAACAAGTTCGGTGGGAAGTTGACGGTGTTTCCCGGGGCCGAAGATGGAAGCATTGATTTTGAAGCTTGCCTCTCGCCGTAGACGCTACAAGCTTTGGCGGAGGACGAAGAGTTCATGGCTAGTGTGGCTTAGTGAACCTTATTTTAGAGAAAATTTTTATTATTGCGGATCTTCGATCCTTGATGATTTCTTGGTTTTTAATTATGCCCATGTTTTATTTGTGTCATTCTATTCTTAAGAACATCTACCCTCCTACTTAAATAACCTGATTATTAAGCGTCTTCCACTCAATCATTGAAAATTTGTTGGTTTATTGTTATGGACAATTCTGGAAAT